TAGGTGGGATTGGGTGCTAGGACCCCCCACCTGTGTATGAGGCCCGGGGCCATCTGGGGCATGGATATTGCTGGGGTTTCGGAGGGGTTTTGCTCGGGAGGCTTCAGGCAGGCAGCTGAAGCGCTCTGTGGGACTGGTTTGTGGCCTGTGTGGAAAGGTCACCAGTCGGGGGCTGTAAGAAGCCCCGGATTCGAGCAATTCGCCCTGAGCGGATGCCCTCAGCTGTGCCCAGACACGGCCCGGTCCGTCACAGCCTCCATTTCACACTTTAGCCCATGGGCCGCTAACTTATTTCATGTGTAGAGAAGCATGTTGTAGTAAATAAACCCTGTTACAGACAGACACTAGGGAAAAAAAGTAAGTGCTGCCAAGATCTTGCACCCCTGTCTCCCTGCTCTGTGACATGACCCTGTACTTTAACCCTGCTCCTGCAGAGTTTGATTTAGTGGGTCTAGTAAGGACCCACTAACTTGATTGCTGATGGTGCCCCCATCAACTCCTGTACTCCACAGCATCATGTGAACACTGTGGAAATTCGACTTAAGGTATGTTGACTCCAGCTACACTATTCTCGTAGTTGGAGTTGTGTATCTTAAGTCAGCTTTCTCCCTAAGTGTAGACCTAGCCTTGGAACGCATTAGTACTTTCTGAAGGTATTTTCTTTGGAGGGGAAAAGGAAGATTTACCTTTCCTGGTCCCCTGAAAACAAAATATGTGTAATCATACCAGCTGGCAATCCCTGCAAAGCCAGAAAGAATTATTCTGGTGGCCTCCTTAAAGATGATAGACAGTGATAGAGAGACTAATACATCACTTCTAGAAGTGCAAGCCTTCAAATATGATGTAAGTAGTCTCAAGGAAGTCAGTGAGACCTCTGATATAATTAAAAGTTATGCACCTGCTTAAGTGCTTTGCTGAATCAGGGTCTCAAACAGGTTTTCATGTCTAATTGTTTAAGTAGAAACAAAAGATCTTATGACATTTTTAAAAATAAGTCACTCAAAAGTTTGGTATCCATATTTGTACCTCTTAGTTCCACTGCACATTATCTGGCAATCCAAAATAGTGCTAGACTTTCATTGTTGCACAGAGGATGGGAGTTATTCAACACATAAGCCACTCATGTTACAGCTTTGTATTCTAATTCAATGCCTTGAACTATGTCTTGAAATATTTGATTTTGCGTAAAGTGGAAGGGAAGAATAAGTTATTTCAGTTTGTAGTATGAGGCAACTAACATATAAAATATTGCCTGAGTGTGCTCAGATTCATTGGGAGATTTACCTTGGGCTATAAAGTCCTGACATGGGAGAGAGGATGAAAATGTCCTGGAGAGCAGAGCTGTCAATTTTTGAGGACATGCCCATTGTGCTGGTTGGAGTTGTAGAGCTGCTTGTTGGGCTGGTTGGAATCACAGGCTGTAAAATAAAATCAAATAGAACAAAAGTAAAGCATCATCATTTCCATGCTGCATTTCAGCTGTGCTTTAACAAAACTTAACTCTGTTTTCCTAGTGAGGATCACCTTCTCTTGGATGCTCTCTTTTTTTAGATTAACCATAATTACAGCTTCTTGCAACAAGGGATATTTGTTGAATTTTCCCCAGCTTTTGTGAGTATTGTGAAAGGCAATGTAAGTTATTTATTGGAGAAGGCTGAACTATAGCAAACATATGTGTAATGGTGTTACAGATATATCATGGAAAGTATTAAAAATTGTAAAGCAATAAAGTATTATCTTTAAATTTCATAATAATAAATAGATTAGAGAACACTGGGGTTTTCTAAACCCATCTGATGCTAGACTGAAGCATAGTCTTATTAAAATGAAAGGAAAGCTGAACTGATCCTTTCCCTAGCAATTAGGGGGTCATAGCTGAGGTATAGAACAATGGACATTCTACTACTTCTGAAACTGGCCTGAGCCCTCCAGCTTTCATGAACATGCTACTGCTGTCAGGATCTCTTGGTTTGTGCAAGATCATGCCAGCAGAGCAGAATGGAATGCTCTTCAAAATGGCTGCCTCCATCTCACAAGGCATGATATCAACCAAAACCAAGTCCAATTTTATATCAGTCCTGGATAGGGGAGAAACTTGAGGGGAAAACAGGATTGTCCATGTTAGAACTGAAGGAATAGCCTGCCTATAACTAAATCAAGCAGACATTTCTGCACTTTCAGTAGCTCTCCTCTCTATTTCTGTGGGAATACAATACCCGTACTTTTAATTTATAGCATTTATTCAATACTAAAAGATGAGTGGTTGCTCCAAAAGTTAGGATTTATCAATGGGAATGGACTTAATTGTATATAGAAGCTAGTAGTTTTCAAATATGTCAAGAAGGAATTCCTATAGTGTATCCCAGTCTTTAATTGTATTTAATTACAGTAAACTTCTGATAATCCGGCACCTTTAGGACCCAGGGGGTGCTGGATTATCAGATATGCCGGACTATTGGAAGGGGGGGCTATGACGGGACTTGGGTGGGGGGGATGCCACCCCAGACTCCTCATAGGCCCCCCTTCCGATAGTCCGGCTCTGCCCCAGGCATCCCCGATTCAGCCTCTGCTGGTCAGTTTCAGCAGCAGCTGAATCGGGAAAGCCGGGCGCAGAGCATCTCCAATTGTCCAGCTGCCCAGAGCACTTCCGGGTTCCTGATGGTGCCAAACCATCAGGAGTGCCAGAGCATTGGATGCCGGACCAATGGAGTTTTACTGTATATACTGTATAATACAGAGGCTAAATGAAAGAGTTCAAAACCATAGTATTGGGGAGGGGAAAAGAGACTTCTTACTACTCCCACTTCTCCTTTTAGAACATAACCATAGGATATGAAAATGGGATCTTTGGACCATGCACTCCAGATCCTGCTTATTCCTCAGCTGAAAGCATAACTTTTATTTGTGACACTGCAGCTTCTGTTAGCCGTGGGAACAGGGCCAGTGAGCAGTGGGAAAGTAGTCCTATTTGGGTTCCAGGAAGTTGGTGGGTGTAAACCCACACAGGACCCTCCCTCAGCCTTTGGGGAGGATCCACAAAGCCCATGAACTCAACCAGCTAAACAAAATTCTGCACAAAGGTCCCACACACAGCTGTGACATTATTCAGCTGATGTTGTGATGTATATCACTATTTGAAAAACCAAGCTAGATTTTTATGCACAATTTAAAAAGGTATAGGTTACTACCAGTTAGAGTAATCAGCAATGACTTGTCTTCTCACATCTGCCTTGTGAGCCACACACTGCAATAATCTTACTAACAGGGTGGCATGATTACAAGTAGTTAAAATAATCTAATCATGCTGAATTGATATATGTTAATATTCAATCCTTACATGACACCTGCAGTAGAAGCATGAAAGACTGCTCATTGATATTCTGTGAGTGTTGCTATAGATAATGAATTAATAAAAAGGAGGAAAGAAGGGCTGTGGAAAAGGTAAATATTATATAAATGAATTTTAAAGTATAAAAAGTTTTGGACATCTTTTAATCAAACAGTTTTAAGCTCCTACACAAAAGATATGCTTTTTCACTAGACCTGTGTTTTTCATAAATGCAATATAGTCTCAATAGACCACTGTATTTGTATTTAGGGCATGGATACATATATTAATTCAGGCAGGTTGTATAATTATTTATGCAGAAATCTCCAGTTTGAAGAGACACAAATGACTTTAAATAAATGCAAATACTTTTCTAGCAGACTAGAAGAAAAATCAAGTGGATCTAGGAATCAGATGGGGAACACCAGAGTTCTGTAGAGCCATGTATTTAAATCAAATACAGCTAAAAATTCCACCCTACATTAGTAAACAAAAGATCTCATAAACATTTCTCAAGAGCAGTAATTTCCTGCAGTGTTCTTAGCCAAAAATTCATCCCTTCCCCTTCAACTGCTGTGCAGCTTAAAGTACTGCAAACAGTACCAGATTTTACCTTTAGTATCCCACCATTATTTCAATAGCTCTGTTTGTACACACTATAACCAATAATGCTTTCAGGATTGCAAAGCATGTTACAATCCTTCAAGATGAAAAGTGATAAACAGGATCCTAATTTTCTGTGATCCACCAAAATTCTGATACAAACATAAAAATCTATGTTTTTCTATAGTTAATATGAAACACTGAACTCTAGTTACTCTAGCCACAATGTATATAGATATTAATTGAACACAATGTTTAAAATGATATACAGTAGAACCCCATTATCAGCATCTGCATTATTCAGCTCTTCCTACTAAATGAACTACCAGCCACCCAAGTCTGACACTGCCAGGGCTGGGGTTAGCTCCAGCCAGCCAGTGCTGACCGTGCGAACCACAGCTGCATACTGGAAAAGTGGTACTGGTAGTTCCAGTAAAATGTAATTAATAGTTAATGTTAGGAATGTGAATATCTAACTGGTTAACCTATAAGCATCACCCTTCCTCATGAGGGTGGGGTAGTTCCAGCCTGCCGTGATATGCCGCAGGCGGGGGACTCTCCAGCCTAGTTGGGCTGGAGCAGCTCTCCACCCACCTCCAGTGGGCCTGGCCTAGCTGGAGCTACCTCCCATGCTTTGGGTGAGGGGCACTCCAGCCCAGTTGGAACAGTCTCCACCAATGGCATGGGGGAGGGTTGCTCCCGCCTGGCCAGGACCCCCCCCAACTCTGTTCAAGTACTTAACTGACTAAAGATAATGTTTAACCAGTTAACTGATTAAATGGGATTTTACATCCCTAGTTAATGTGCTTTTATTCTTTCACAAAATGGAAAAACTAATAATTCCCCGTTAAAATGTAAATTTTTATGTTTTTCAGTGACAAACTGATTTCTAGGATCCCTGGTTATAAATAAAATAGTTAATATTTATTTTCACTGCTTATCTATAGGAGTTATCAGGTTTTTCATGTCATAAAAAGAATTAACACAACAAGAACCAAACTTTTAGAGCTGATATTCTAGCTTTAGAAAACTTGAACTGTTTTTCAGGTGATATACATTTAATAATTATTGGTGGAGGAAGGAAGTCATCACATGTATACAGAGATTGTGGGGTTACTCTTGAATATTGATGGACAGCCAGTATCTTCTTGCTTCCACATCTCCAAAACACCATCTACAGATATAGAACCTGATTCTGATCTCACTTCGGTGTAAATCAGGAAAAACTCAACAGAAAACCAATGGGGTTATATTGGTTTAGAAGTTGTGCATGCAAGAGAAAAAGTCTTTCTTATAGGATATTGCTGTGCCACAAACACGTGGTGTAATTGCAGCTCATGTGGGTATGCCTGAGCTACCTTTGAGTTAGCTAGTAACAACAGTAGTGTAGTCATGGCAGCATGAGCATACTATAGTATGAGAATTTGCTTCTCAGTATTTGTTCCTATACAGTGAAAAAACCTACTGTATAGAAATTTAAATTACAAAAAACTTGGAAATAATTATAACCAAGGGGCTGTATCAAATTTAAAGTTTTGTCAGTTTAGTTATTTATACCTGGCCTGACGATGCATTATTAGATCCCCTATTAATCCTCACTTCTCCAGATTGAACATACCCGATTTTCTAATAGGTCAGGTTTTCTAAACCTTTTATCATTTTGTTGCTTTCCTTTGGACTCTCTCCAATTTATACACATCTTTCCTAAAGTGTGTACCCCAGCCCAGAATTGGTCACAATACCCCAGTTGAAGCCTCACCTGTACTGAATAGAGTGAAAAATCCCCCCCCCCCATGTCTTATTTACAATACTCATGTGACTATACCCCAGGATATTAGCTTTTTTTGCAACAATATCACGTTTTGACTTATATTCAATTTGTGATCCATTTTTCAGTAGCACTACCTCTTAGCCAATTATTCCCAATTATGTAGTTGTACCTTTTATTTTTCCTTCCTCGGTGTAATACTTCATACTTGTCTTTACTGAATTTAAATCTTTCTGATTTCAGAGCAGTTCTCCAAGTCATTTTGAATTCCAGCCCTGTTCTCTGAAGTGCTTCCAACACCTCCTAGTTTAATGTTTGCAAATTGTTTAAACGTACTTGCCGCTCCATTATGCAAGTCATTAATGAAAATATTGACTAGTACCAGACATGGGTGTGACCACTACAGAAGCCCATTAGACCCTCCCAGTTTTATAGAGAACCATTGATAACTGTTCTTTGAGTAGAGTCTATCTACCATTGTGCATCCATCCACCTTACACTAAGAGCACTGCAATGTAGGGAGAGCAGGAAGCTGGTAAATCTAGTAAAACCCAATAGTTGTCCAGATCCAAAACCTTGAGCATGATTATCCCTTATGTTTGGTGGGAATTATGACAATTTAGGGTGGGGTACGGAATCTCTGGTTTCTTCCCTGAGGGGAGTAAACATAACTCCTTCATGAGTAAATTAGCCAATGAAGAGGAGTGGAAGTGGCAAGT